GGAAAGTGAAAGATATGATATTTTCTACCCAGAATAAACTAAAACTGAAGAAGTCATGGTTTATACTCAAACCGACCGATAAAAGCTTTAGCCAAGGAAATGTTATGAGTTGGTCTAAAGCTTCGACCAAAGAGCGCAGAGATATGGTGTGACAACAGTTGAGGGATTTTTAGAATTAGCTGCGGGTCAAGAAAGCAGCCAACAGTCACTGCAAGGCCAGTGATACGGCTTTGAGAGTGCCATGCGACTAGAACTCTCTCGAAGTGAGATTTGGTGAATGACTCAACTGTGACTGAGCCTTCTTTTTCGACGTGTGTACGGTGTGTCACCCTCACCAGTTAACCTTGCCAAATGGTGCCACAAGCAACCCGACACGTCCCCTGGGCAAAGCGAAGCAAACGTTAGAGCATATATTGTCCGCGTGCAGGACAATGTTAGGTCAGGGGCGGTACATATGGTTGCCACAAAAAGGTTTTAAAAGAGTTAGCCGACATTGAGGACAAAGCTATGATGATGAGGCGAGGGTCAGTTCTAGTTTCCGCAACCATTTTCCATGCGCTTCCTCAAGACTGTGCAGATAAAAAAGGACATTTAACAAAAGAGAAATTGTTGCATCCACCTGGATTGGCAGCTGGCTGTATACCATTCTGGAAAACTTGACTGAGGTCAGTAAGATATTGTGTTGCACTCGGTTGCAAAGCGTCAGTTCGTACTGATAGAGCTGAGCGTGTCGTGCGAGTCGCGAATGGAAGATCAGCACCTATACAAGCTCGAGAAGTACAGTTATCTGACAGCAAGTCAGAGAAGAGATTAGGGGTAGTAGTAATGCTCTTCGCCGTCGAAGTTAGCGCAAAGGTGCTCATCGGTAACTCCATAAACAATGTTCTGAAGCAGGATGACTTGAGAGAAAAACTACCATAGAAGGGCATTGAAGCAATCTGATGAATCTGCAGTAAAAAAGCGTCGAGTTTGATTTGGACACAACTGAACGAATGGAGGATAAGCCTCGGTAGACTGGTCACAGCCCATTTAATGGAAAAGAACTTTTAAATCCCCTAAGCCAAATGTTGTCCAATTAATGTCTGCCCGTGCTACTTCGATTGTTCAAGTCTGTCCGATAAATCAACCAGACTTGTCACGCTGGTCGTGTAATTAGAAGTTAATTGGTTACCGTAGCAAGGAACACATTAACCCCAATACCTGTTGCAATTACTGTTTTGTCTTGTTCTACTTGAGTTCTACTTGTGTGTGTGTATATATATATATATATATATATATATATATATATATATATATATACTCATTACATTGCCATCACCGTGTGAGTTATGAGGTCCTATTACACACAAAAAAGAATAGACTTCCTGCCTACCCAAAGCATGCCAGAGGAGTCCACTAACTGGAAGCTTCCTTCAAAGACTGAGTGCATCTGCTTGAGGGGCAAGGAATCTACAGTCTGCATACAATGAGTCAGATCAGTAAAACAGATGCGCACGCAACACTAAGGTTCTGGAACAGGACTGCAGTCCAAAAGTGCACGAACAACCAGAACTTTCTGTCTGTTAACAGGTGGTGAACTAGAAGAAGAAGAAGAGATTACATTACAAAATAGAAAAAAAAAAAAACATTCTTTCACCTTCTTGTGCCGATTGGTCTATAAAAAATATAGGCCTATCCCTATATGCTCTATAGACATGGAAAAAGGTCCTTTACTTTACAAAACAACAAACAAATCCAAGGGAAACAGTTCCTTCGTTCTCCCGACCCATTATTTATTTAGGAAGCTTAACAGGTTACCGTCCCCTCCACCGCACCCCGACCACATTAAACGGATTTGTTTTCGGATTATTTAAAATGCATTATTATATTTATTTATCATTCAGAATACTATTATTATGCTCCTAAAATAGCACTGAGACTCTTAGGCCTCTCTCACTTTTTCTGGCCAGAAAATTTGCGTGGTGGTGTGCGAAGAAGAGAGAGAGGGTCAGCATTCCCTATACCCTAATTTTCAGGAAGTGGAGCGAATTTGAAAGGGCCTATTGTAAGATGAGCCTGTGTGTCCACTGCCTATTCTTTAACAAACAAAAAAAACAAACAACCAAAAAAAGCAAAAGTTGGTTTGTCTGTTTTGACTATGTCTCGATGGTAATGTATGCCTGGAAATTAACTGTGCAGTCTTCTGTTTTTGTTTTCTTTCTTGAAAATTAACATTTTTTAGGGCCTTTAAAAGCTAAAAAAAAAAGGAAATCAAATGTCAGAAAATAGGGTCATAATGTAAAGATATCTTACCATAAACAGCAAGAAGAGAGAAAAAAAGTCATTATTATCCACCTATCTGAAACTAGAAAAGATATAATACCGAACGAAAAGTATATAAGCAAGCTTAACAATATAACAAATACAAACAAAACGTGAACGTTCCGGCTATTGAGCCTTCATCAGCACATACAAATGAAACAATACTACACAGAAATCCAAAATCACTTAGCTGGTATCTCGAGGTAGCCGGGTCGTTTGTTTCTCAGCAGAATGACTACACGTGTCTGAAACTAGAGAATAAAGAATTGGCACACCTGGAAGGATTTGGAGACGAGAAAGCTAACGAGACAGTTATTCTAATGCTTTTGTCATGTCACAGATAACTCGAGTAACGCCTGCAATCGTGCGTCCCGGCGACAGATCAGCTTGGCAGATATAGAAGAATCCATAGATACTGGTTCAGTACAGAGAGCTAGCCTCGAACTACCTCCAGAAAGTAGCAATGTGAGTTAGTTTGTCTTTTTGTTTTTGTTACTTAGATAGGTATTTATATAGTTAGTTAGTTATTAAAGTAAATGAAGCGACTTGGGGTAGTTCTTCAGTTTATAAAGCAGTCGGTAATTTAGTAAGGTTGTTTGGTTTAGTCAGATTGATTGAAAAAAAAAAGAAAACATGTTTCTAATTATCTAGAAAGTTAGTTCAATGATCAGGTTGTTGTAGATTAGTTATTTAGTTATTTCCGTTGTTATTAAGTCTGCTATGTA